TAGAAACCCAGAGCAATGATTTAAATAAAGAAAAACAAAACTTGTTTGAGTTAAGCAACGCCAGGTAAAACTTCTAGTACCACCATAAATTTGAAAAAGTTCACAAAAAAATAAATGTAGGCAATAGCAGTATCAAATTGCAATATTAGAACTTATAAGAAATATATATTAAGGAACAGAAATAAGATAATTAATATTGTTATTTCAATTTAAAAGGAAATATAGAAAATCACTTTCAGAGGCACCGTCATGACCATTAGAATTATTAATACCTCGAGCCAAGAAACACTTTTTAAATTTGAAGTATGTGAGCACTCCTGTAGAGGTCAATGGGACTGTTCATACCCTTAAAGTTAAGCACATGTTTATCTGCTGTGCCGGGCCATTGGCCTCAACTATGATATAGCTGCCTATTTTTTCCTCAAATTTAATAATCTTTTGGAAAGACCCAGGGCTGGTCTACACTACAGGTTTTCTTAAGAAAAAGCTATGCAAATTGTGCGCCGAAATTTGCGTAGCTAAGGTTTTCTTCAGAAAAAGCTATGCAAATTGTGCGCCGAAATTTGCGTAGCTTTTTCTGATTGCTTTTCCGGAAGAGACTTTTCTGTCATTTGGCCCTATATGACGGGGCCAAATGACGGAAAAGCCTCCTCTTTCAGAGGAGCCCTTATTCCTCGTAGAATGAGGTATACAGGGCTCCCCGAAAGAGCGAGTTTGCTCTTCCACAAAAAGAAGTAGAAGAGCAAACGCATTGGTTGGACACAGCAGAGTTTGTCCAGGGGTATCCCAGAAAAACCACGCAGTGTAGATGTACCCCCAATGAGTATGGATGTTCTTCAATTTTGACAGAACTCCTTACCACCAGTACATAGGAAGTATGCCATCAAGCCAAAGTGTAGCAAAACTTAACCAAAGCATGTGTTAGTATCCTTCTTAAGATTTTCCTCAATTTCTTAAAAAAACTTTATAATGATTACAAATGATTATGATAGCTTAGGAGGTATTTTACTAACTACAAGAAATACTAAAGTGTTTTAATACCTCTGCATTTTGGTACCCTAATAAAGCTGTCAGAATGTAAGCTGTGAGAGTGACTAGACTATTACTGCCTCCTTGAAGTTCGCTGTGTATCACTTTTCCAGGCTCCCAGAATTCGCCATTACGTTTCTGATGTTTGAGAATCCAGTCAGCTGTTTTCCGCAGCACATATGGATCAATGTCTATGAATGGACGAGCTTGAAGGAAACATCGTAACACAAAAGCTGATAACCTTGGGGAAAAGGTTAAGCAAATACAAAGAATTAATTATCTATTACAGCTGCTTCTACTGAACATGATTTATTATTTAGTCTGCAGTAGTGCCCTAAGTGTCCTAAATAGTTTCTGACTAAAGAGGCAGACACGTAGCCTCCCCTGAAGTGTGAACATTTAATCATAAGAAGCAATTAATTAGCAAAGAAAGTTATTTTTACAGTCCATAAAACACCATTTCTTTGTATCTTCAGCATTTCAAAACTAAATACAGATGAGAGGCTCCAATTCTGCCAGCACATGCTTTAGTCAGCTGCTGCTCATCAGTTAAACTTGTGTACACCTTTGCAGCACTGAGACCTAAGTTTTCAAGGAACCTTTTAACTATATTATCTGAGGTAGAACTTCAGTGAATGAATCAGAGCATCAGAACAACCACCTGTGGCTTAACTGTGACCATTTTGAAACATATTCTAGATGTATAATCTAATACTTCACTATTTATATACAAAGGTTCATAGTCTTGATAGGACCATTTTCTCTGTTCTATCAATATTAAGCCTGGTCCACAGCTCACTTCAAAGACTCTCTTCAGAGAGTTTTGAATCAGACCAGTAATTTAAATCATTCTTAATTAGATGAGCTAGAGGAGTGTATGAAGCAGTCGATATCAACCTATCAAAATACTTTTATAGAGCCCATCATCTTGATATCCGAGTACTTCAAGAGGAAATTTAATCCCTCGAAGAGAACTAGAACAAGGCCTATTCAACACTGCAATCCCATTTAAGACCTCAAGAAATAATAGATCTAAGGGGATGTGATAGGTTGCTGTTAGTACTATAAAGAGAGTGTTTGGAAGCCAGCATCCTTTTCACTTAGAGCACCAACACAAAAAAAAGATGTAGGTGAAGGATTCCTGGTGGACTGTGTGTGTAGTTTGGTTTGTTCCAATGAGTTACCAGTTGGGCCTTCCAAGAGCTGTTTACAAGTAGGGGCTAGTCTGAGATTTGCTAGTCAGTCAGAGTCAGTAAGATTGGGGAGAAGCCAAGGTGAAGATAAGATGAACCTGGGAAAAATGGAGATACTAATATGGTAGCTGTTAGGGCAAGAAAAGGAAAACTAGAGGACGCTGAAGGCTTTCCAGCAGACAGAGAAACAAACTCTGGTGGGATGGTCAGGACACCATGAAGGAACGGATGTAGGTACAGCAGCCGTAAACACAAACTGTGACAAGTCCTGCAATGAAGAATGGAATTCTGGGGCCTGGGACACTGTAAAATGGGTCCCAAGAATTATCCCAATGCAGACTTACTGATTTTTGAAAGAACTGCCACTGGTGTGTAGGGTTATGGCCGACAGTTAGCCCCTTATCTGGAATGAGAAGCCCAAGCTCAAACCCAAGGCACTGAACAAAGAATAGGCCAGGCATTATGAGGTATTAAAGGCTGCTATACAGGATCAGGCAGGATTGCAAACCAAAAAATACAGACAGAAATTTAGGACACCTCCAAACATTTCATTCAACAAATCCCATTGTGAAAACGATTCACTACTCATCTTTGCAAAGCTGAAAAGCTCTGTCTTAATACTGCCCTTAGATCATGTAAGCTAAAAAAAACAATTAATTCTATGTAAGTCTGAAAGGTTGTCTCTTTCACCAAAAGAAGTTATTACCTTGCCAACCTTGTGTCTTAGATAACCTTATTAATTGGCCTAAGGACAAAATGAAAACCAGATCCCCAACTACTATATCTGGACATTTTTACCAGTTTCATAAATGTTTTAGTCCCAATGAAATATGCAAATATTTAACGAAATTCCAAAGTAAGTATTTTCTCTTAGCTGGGAAAACTACTTACCATGTACTCCCAGAGGAATCACTGTTTCCAAAAGCACTGAAAGAGCCATCATTCCTTTGGTAGAGAAGCTCTCTTTGGTAGCCTGAAAAGATCAAAGCAAAGTACCTGCATTGTATAAATTACTCTTGAGTAGGATTCAAACTGCAATTTATTTCTGGGGCTTTGAGAAAGTGGTTTTCAGATGGTGAAGAAAGAAGAGGAATGAGCTTGCTCCTGCAGAATACATTTATGGAGACTTTACATCTCATGTTTCACATGTGTATGCCATATGTGCAGGAGTAAATACGAGTGAGAGAATAAAAAAAAAGTTAGGTTGCAATAATATAGAGCATCTGTTTATGAAAACTGAGGTGCATAACTCAACTGTTGCAGCATCTAAGCATAAGAGTGAATTCAAGACACAGAAGCACCTGCAGCTTAGAGTTTTCTTGCTTTTGTCAGTCTGGGTCACACCATACTGAGGAATGTACCATCTTCTGAATAAAAGGAAAAAGGGAAAGCAAAAAAGAAAATACTCTGCCTAGAAAAGCAGAAGATGCAGCATGAGACCAAATAGCTACTTTAAGGTTGCAGCTGCTTGTCACTGCCAAATTTAAAGGACTAACTATCTGTCAGAAAAATATGCTAGAAAAAGTTCTTCTGCAAGGCTGGCCCCTTAATAGACATCTCTAGATTTTCCATGATAGTTCCTATTGTTTAACAATTGACATCTTTTAGTTGATAATATGTATCTTTAATAAAAGTACAGTTTGATATTGATTGCTTACTGAGTCACAACCACTAATAGCAGTGCAAGATCCTTTTCCACAAACTGCAATGCAAAATCAATTTTCATTTTAAAAATGAAAATATACTTTTAGATTAACTGGGAAAATACTTACCGCCTAGAAAAGCAGAAGATGCAGCATAAGACCAAATAGCTACTTTAAGGTTGCAGCTGCTTGTCACTGCCAAATTTAAAGGACTAACTATCTGTCAGAAAAATATGCTAGAAAAAGTTCTTCTGCAAGGCTGGCCCCTTAATAGACATCTCTAGATTTTCCATGATAGTTCCTATTGTTTAACAATTGACATCTTTTAGTTGATAATATGTATCTTTAATAAAAGTACAGTTTGATATTGATTGCTTACTGAGTCACAACCACTAATAGCAGTGCAAGATCCTTTTCCACAAACTGCAATGCAAAATCAATTTTCATTTTAAAAATGAAAATATACTTTTAGATTAACTGTTTTGCTTCTCCACTGACTTTTTAATGTCTCTGAAACCTTTTGTCTAGATTTTGCACGCACAGAATACTATCCAAAATGCCACACTGAGTGGCTATATAACCATATCAATAGTAATATTTACTGCATCATTAAGATTAATAAAATATGTTGAATTAATGGAACAATTAATTTGATCAAAATTGTTCAGTTTTCAATTATATAAAAAATGAAACAAAAAATTCAATGTCAAATTTTGCTCAAAAAATATCCAAAATACAAAAAACTGTCTTAATTTAAACTTTCTGCAGGAAAAAAAAACTTCTGACAAGCTCTGCTGTGTTACTTTATGGCAGCAGTTCCCAAACTTTACCAGATGGGGACCCATTTTGACAATTCAGGAAGACTTGGTGACCAGGGCAATTCAAAATATGTGTGAAGGGCTCCTTAAAAGCCACCTGGGGAGACACCTGGTGACCCTTTTGAAATGTAATAGCGATGAATATTTGGGTCCTGACCCATAGGTTGGGAAACCCTGCCCTATGGTAACCAAACTGTAATACAGGCAGTCCCCGGGTTACATGGATCCGACTTACAACGGATCCCTACTTACAAACGGGGTGAGGCAGACATTATCAGCAAACAACAACATATAACATGCCTCAGTAACGAAGAACACAATGCTATTCACAGCCTCAAAACCAATCCTAACATCATAATCCAAGTAGCTGACAAAAGGAGGAGCTGTAGTCATCATGAACAGGACAGATTATGAACAGGAGGCGAACAGCCAACTCACTAACACCAGATTCTACAGGCCTTTCTCTTGTGACCCTACTAAGGAATACCAAAAACTGCTCATGAAACTCCCTGATGCTAGTCAGGATCAAATCTATGCTAACAGCCCTCCTAATCCTCAACCAGGAACTTTCTATCTTCTACCCAAAATCCACAAACCTGGTAATGCCGGATAACCCATCATCTCCAGCACTGGCACACTTACCACAGGGAAGAATTTGCACAAACTACACCGTTGAGAATATTTGTATTCGCAGACATGTAGATGGTATCATGAGCTTTCATGGGCACAGCCCACTTCTTCAGATGACCGGAGTTATGAGTAGGGGATATGAAAGCTCAAAATAAATAATAATGGGTGCTAAACCTAAGCAGATAAAGATCAAGGTCAATAGTTAGATTGCTAAAACAGGAAAGATACCACTCAGAAAGCTGTTAGCACCTGCACACCTGATTACTTCGTCCTCACCCACAACTACTTCCAATTCAGAAACAATTTCTATCTCCAAATCAGCGGCACAGCCATGGGCACTCTCATGGCACCACAAGGTGCCAACATCTTTATGGCTGACCTTGAACAATGTCAGCCAATGTCAGCTCTCGCCCTCTAACACTCCTACTTTACTTACACTACACCGTGACAAGACCACCTCCCACAGATCTGTCAGCATTCTCTACAACAAACAGAAGAAAATCAAGGAGGAGATTTGAGACTCTTAAAGAATTCCACAAATATTTCAACTACTTCCACCCCACTATCAACCTCAGCCTAGACCAGTCCACAAGTCACACACATTTCACCTCTTCGAGACTTTACAACTATTCAACAAACCACCTACAAGGACCACTTCATCTCCCTTCAGAGGAAAAACCGCTACATGTCTCACGATCTCTCATAACAGATACTCTCAATTCACCCAACAACATCATCAACCTATCTAATCACTCTCTCAGCACAGCAGAATAATCTGTTCTATCCCATGAACTCTCCTTCTGCCCTACCACCCCCACAAATATGATTCAGTTCGGTGGGGATCTGGAATCCTATTTTCGCTGCCTCCGCCTAAAGGAATATTTCCAACACACCGATATACAACATGCTGACCTCACTGCTCCCCTCTGCAAATTGACAGAGCCCAAAAAAGTATCCAGATGTGAACTACTTCAAGACAGACTCAAAAGCCGCTACATGTCTCACGATCTCTCATAACAGATACTCTCAATTCACCCAACAACATCATCAACCTATCTAATCACTCTCTCAGCACAGCAGAATAATCTGTTCTATCCCATGAACTCTCCTTCTGCCCTACCACCCCCACAAATATGATTCAGTTCGGTGGGGATCTGGAATCATCCCAGACACATTTTCAGTCGATTGTATACAACCAAGCCCTACGATACAACCAGATTTGCTCCAACCCCACAGACAGAGACAATCACCTACAGGATCTTTATAGAGCATTTGTAAAACTGAAATACCTACCTGGGGAAGTGAAAAAACAAATTGATTGAGCCCAAAAAAGTATCCAGACGTGAACTACTTCAAGACAGACTCAAAAGAGAAAATAACAGGAAATAACAGAATTCCTCTTGTTGTTATCTACAGTCCACAAACGCAAGTCTGAATTTCTACATCGACTGCTTCCGCAAACGCACTCAAGCTGACATTATCAGCAAACAACAACATATAACATGCCTCAGTAACGAAGAACACAATGCTATTCACAGCCTCAAAACCAATCCTAACATCATAATCCAAGTAGCTGACAAAAGGAGGAGCTGTAGTCATCATGAACAGGACAGATTATGAACAGGAGGCGAACAGCCAACTCACTAACACCAGATTCTACAGGCCTTTCTCTTGTGACCCTACTAAGGAATACCAAAAACTGCTCATGAAACTCCCTGATGCTAGTCAGGATCAAATCTATGCTAACAGCCCTCCTAATCCTCAACCAGGAACTTTCTATCTTCTACCCAAAATCCACAAACCTGGTAATGCCGGATAACCCATCATCTCCAGCACTGGCACACTTACCACAGGATTATCTGGATATATTGACTCCCTCCTCAGACCCTATGCTACCAACACTCCTAGCTACCTACAAGATACCACTGACTTCCTGAGCAAACTCCAAAATATTAATAGTCTTCCTGAAAATACCATTCTGGCCACCGTCCAGCCCCTCAAGCCAAATACACAGAAAAAGCTTGGAATTACATTACATATACAAATTCAATTCACATGCTAATGGACTCAATTGTGATTTAAACTGGTGGGGACTCTACCATTGAAGGTGCTAACAGCTTTCTGAGTGGTATCCTTCCTGTTTTAGCAATCTATCTATTGACTTTGATCTTTATCTGCTTAGGTTTAGCACCCATTATCCAGATAGTTAAAGAAAAAACAGGAAGGGGGGTGGGAGGCAGAGCATCATTCTCTTTTCTCCCACCCCCCTTTCCCTTCTCCTATTTATTTCGAGTTTTCATATTCCCTACTCATAACTCCGGTCATCTGAAGAAGTGAGATGTGCCCACGAAAGCTCATGATACCATCTATGTTTCATTAGTCTATAAAGTGCTACCAGACCATTTGTTGTTTTTTTCAGTAACAGACTAACTCGGCTACCCCCAGAAGCTTCTATTCCCAGAGCTATTTCTCCCTCTAGTGGGAAATCAGTCTAGGAATGTAGGTCAAATTTAGACCTGGTGTCTACTGTACCCAAAGGAGTTCTATCAAGGATTAATCTTATTCATTGTGTTTTCTAACTAACTTACAACTCTTTATGATTCAAGGAGTGGTTAAAATATTCAGTCTTGTGCTGTTTTAGTGGCAAAATATAACCAGCTCCAGGAATGATGATATGGATCAACTTTTTAAAGGACAATTTTACTCTGGAAAGTTACTTTATAAAAAAGGTATCTTCACACTCAGCAGATCTTATTTTAGGAACAAATGTAAAATTATCTAACTAAGTATTATCAACTCTAGGGATCCAACACAGCTACAGACAAGAGGGCTTCTCATCTAATTCACACATAATTAAAAAATGATTAATCAAATTCTAAATGCAAGGGCACAAATAAAGTATTGTCTGTCAGCACTATTTACAAAAAAAAATCTAGGCTCTTCTCTGAAAGTTTACAGACCTTCTCTCATAAATGATGTAGCTTTCCGTTTAATATCTTCCTTCAATTGCCTTGTGTTAGTCAGGTATTCCATAACATAAATATTAGGAGCAAAAATTATCATGTTCTGTTCACCACAGCCATAAGGCATCTTAATCAGTGATTCCAAGCCATTGATAGAAGGCCCAAGAATATCACCTGAAAGATAAAATTAAAGTTCAGTGGGCTTACCTATATTGGGGAAGCACGTGAGATATTGCTTTTTTCATGTCACTTTAGCCCTCTCATCTGGACACAACACACTCACCCATTTACCCCAGGACTTATTCTAATATTCCAGATTGCTCGGCTGTTACCGTTATCAGAAACCTCCCACACTGGGCTATGCGTATTGTACACATTTCTAGTTTCTGCCCCAGAATTATACTGGCCTAGAGCTTCCTTATTAAAGGCTGAATCGCTAACCATACAACAGAGACTCTCTTCATGAAGAAAACACTAAATACCATAATATCCAAGTAAACAGCCTCCACAGACACCTTCCCATTCTTATCAACATGGGTGACGGGAGAGGAAATTGGGGGTTAACCAGGGCAGTAGTCATCCCAACATTCTACATTATAATTAAGCCAACATGAATATAAGCACAGCATCATTGAAACCACAAATCAGCAACCACCTGGGGCCAAATCTTGTTTACTTTACTCTCACTGACATCCTCACTGACATCCTCAGTAGGCAGACCTAGGCCAAGGAAGAAATCTGTTATATAGAGACCCGCACACTCCCACCCCTAGTTCTTTATGGAAGTGGGTAAACTGGCTTCTCAAAAATAGCTATAATGACACAGTGTCACACCATACTATATCTTGAATGCTATGTGAGGTAAATGTAAATACAACACAAGCCCAGCAGACAGTTTTATATTTACAGTTTGCAAAAGACAGGTTGACAGAAAATAAATGAAGGTGTAACTAGGATAAAATGATGCTTACCAATAACAGTGATTTTCACTCTTTCACTGCCACTTACAACATCAGGAGGGAAGGTGAAATTCAGAGTTTCTGATACAGTTTGTGGGTTATTCTCAGTCAAATCTAAAAGACGTGTCTGTGAATAAGACTGTTCCAGTCCCTCAGCCTATCAAAATATTAAAAAAATAATTTTAATCTCCACTATTTTATCTGCTGTCTTTAGGTTTTAATATGTGCTAGTACAAAAGTGTATGTAGGACTGCGAGACCTACAGTATGACTAACAAATATTTTCTGTTACTTGCTAGTGCAGCAAGTAGAGAATTGGCTCATCTAAGTCAATGCATATGTATGTATTTCTTAAAGACAGACAGCACTTCCACTTGTATCAAGATGAATCGTTAATAACAAACAATAATATGTGAGACCTGATGCAAAATCCACTCAGATCAGTGAGAATCTTCCTACTGCTTTCAATGGCTTTTGGATAACGACTATGGAGCAGAGCACTCTAGGACAAAGGTGTGATCTTTCACACAACATGCAACACTGTAATGCTCAAAGAATGAAATTCTGCTTTCAGAGAGAAATTCACCCCTATCCAGAAGGCAATGTGGAGGGAGGAAGGGAAGATAGTCCAGTAATTAAGGTGCTGTTCAAGTCTTTATTCCATTACAGACTTCCTGTATGACCTTGAGCAAGTTGCCTAATCTCTCTGTGCCTCAGTTCCCCACCTGTAAAAAGGAGATAATAGTACTTCCCTACCTCTCCGGGTGTTATGAGGATGAATATATTAAGGACTGTGAGGTGCTCAGATAGGATAGTAACAGAAGCTATATAAGTACCTTCATGTATATGTTTACACTGCAGCTGGAAGCATGCCTCCCAAACAGATTTTGTAGCTCTGCTCAAGCTATCACACGAAAAATGGCAATGTGCCTGTTGCAGTATAACTGGTGTCATGGGCTAGCCACCTGAGCTTAGATCCAGGAGATCAGGCAGGCCTGGACTCAGACAGCTAGTTCCAGCTACTGCCCATACTGGAACATCCACACTGCTACTTTTACCAAGTTAGTCTGCTTGAGCTAACACTAGTCTGTCTATCTGAGCTATGAGGTTGACTGTCTTCCAGCTGTAATGTAGACATATCTTTAGACAGTGACAGTACCGGGCTGTTTAGAGGATATGTTTGTCCTCTACATAGGAGTAAATTTCCCCCCCTAGAGCCCAAGCCTGAACTCTTATTAAATTTCACTGAATATAAAGGAACTATTCTTGTAAGTGAAAATAATGTGTTTCAGAAAGCACTAGAAGATTAGGCCCTTACTTCTTAAATAGGGTCACACTGGTGTAAAACACATGGAATCTCTCATCTTAGGAAGTGGGTTGTGCCCATGAAAGCTCATGATCAGGGCTCAAAAAATACACTTATCTACTCGCCCATGACGAGTAGATTACAGCCGGTCGCCCTGTTCACTGGCGGTCCGCGCATGCTGCGATCGTTGAGCCCTGATCATGATACTATTTTTTTATATTGGTTAGTCTCTAAGATGCTATAGGACTATTCATTTTTTTAAACACATAGAATTAGTATGGCAATTTTAGTTCCTTTATTTTATATACGAATAACTTTTTGGCTAACTTTCTCCCACTTCCAAAATGCATAATTTATAATGTTAAATATTGCTAAAATAAAGTTAACTGTAGAGTTAAACTTTTTCTCATTACAAAATTATTTTACTTTCTTTGGCTAGATTATAATAAGGTGTAGCTACCATGGATGCAATCCTGAAAACCCACACTCACCCAATCACACAAACAAGGGTTTGTAAAATTTAGCTATATTTTTGTTTACATTTCTGAAATGGCATTCCAAAGCAGGTGAGTGAAAGGAAAAACTTCTGCTATCATTCACCCATTCTGAAAGCATCAGGGCAAAACAAAGGTAAATATTCCATTGGTCTGCCTTTCCACAACATTCTCCTTTTTTAAGAGAATATAATCTTGGAATGCTTGAAATGGCCTAGGCCTTTGAATAGTTACCTTAACTAAAACTTTCTGGAGGATGGCATCTGAAGCAGTGGGTGATATTGCTATCACTTTAATAGGAATCTCTCCCAGCTGTTTTGGTTTGATTGGGAAATTAACAGTCTTTGCATCTTCACTTTCTACCAATACAGATTGTTGGTTTCCCGTAGCATTTATTTCATTGGACGTGATCAGAATTTCAAATGTATCACTGAGGTCAAGAGTCACCATAACCTATAAAAAAATTGAAATTAATATTTTAAATTGGAAAAAGGGTGTTAATCTTAGGCAGTCCCTTCTATAAACACTCATTTTCTGCATGTATTTAAAAATATGTGTTAGTTGTACCATTTATTCACTGAAGAAACAAGTAAGGGTCTCAAGGAGATGTGATCACCACAGTATGTGAAAGCCTTGCAGTATCTGGGCAATATCCAAAATTCAGAGCACGAAATCATGGACAAGAAGCAAAGGAGAAAAAGAAAGAACTGGAAGTTGATGGGAGCTGAAGATACTCCACACTTCCCAGGAACTGCCATTCACCAAACAGAAGGGCTGAGGAGTACAATACAGGTCATATGAGAGTAAACTATCAAATCCAAAATCCTATTTCTGTCCAATCCTATTCAGAGGAAACTAAAAACACATAGTCTATTTGATTAATTTAGTGCAATGATTTTACATATAGGAAACTAGATTTTCCTGATGCCTGTAGCAAATAGTTCATATATTAAAGAATGCCTCTAGAAAAGCTGACAAACTTGAGATCATAGCAAAATGGTCAGGAAAAAAAAAAGAGTTTGCCTATTTTTACCTTGATTCTTTCTTTCAAATAATTGAAGATGTTTACTTCCAAAATAAACTGCTCTCCTCTGGTAACCGAGTAAGGAAGGTTCAAGGAAATAAAAAAGGGTTGAAAAGCTTCTAACTGGAAAACAAAAACATTATACAAAAGTGAACCCTTGTGGTCATACATTAGCTATTAAATTAGCTACAGGGAATTTAGGTTTAAACCTGTTAAACTTCCCCACTGGTAAACCTTGACTACAGAACAAGTTTACTTATATTGAACAATTGCCATTAGGTGATATGTAGACTTCTGATTTTTTGTTTTAACTCAAGAACACGAAAAAAAGCACTCCCAATAAAAAACATGAAAACCGTATTTACCCAACAATCACCAAACACCAGAACTAGTTTCAGCAGATTGCTTGTCTATGCAGAGCAGTAATGTGGCTACAGCTGCATGATTTCTAAAGCATACTGATGTGTTGCACAATACTTGGTCAATGTAAATCCTGCTGATGCAAACTGAAGATTCCCTAATGAGCTTTCATATAGTGCTGTTTGAAACAGCATGACAGTACAGAATGCTAGGGAGCATGACAAAAAGATTAATTAGTGCAATACAAAGAGAGGGCCCTAAAAAAAGTTGTATACATCTACACAGAACTAAAAAAATTGCTAAAAATAAGCCTCAAAAATGAAATTAAAGTCTGAAAAACAAAAGCCTTGGTAATACACCTGGACTGAAGAATGAGCCAAGGCAATTATTAGTACAATAGCAAATTCCATTTTCCGAGAACTCTCTGGGTAGGTCTGCATTGTAAGAAAACACCTGAGTTGCTGGATGTCAGCTGGCTCAGGCTTGCGGTGCTCAGCTTGTAGGGGCTATACAAATGCAGTACAGATGTTCAGGACTCAGGCTGGAGTCTTGACTTGGACACACTGTGAGCTTGAATCAGCTGATCCGAGCCAAGCCACAGGTGTTTACTGCAGTGTAGATATAGCCTCTAGTGCTGCTCACATGGGAGTAGGTGGGCTCTTGGCAGTTTTTTGGGGTGAAAATACATGTTAGATGCATAGAATGATTTAAGAGTTTTAACTTTAGACAACCAGGTTTGAAAGTTTTAAACTTTCCCATCATTTGGGATCCTGTTAAATAATGACTTTTGACTATTTTGCGTGCTTAAGCAATGGATTATTTAAAGACTTCTCTCTACGTGGCCCTATTGTTATGCTTATAAGCAGGGCTTGCCAAGCGGCGGTGAGCCCCTCTTGCCAGCCACTTGGAAGTGCACGCTGCGCATGCGCAGACCGCGCTGCGTGGCCACACCAGGCTAAAATCTACTCGACCTGGGCGAGTAGATTGCCCTAATTGTCAAGCCCTTCTCATAAGAAGCACACTGGATCTTTTTCAGGAGAGAAGGCAATACACTGTGTTTATTGAGAATACAGTAGAGAAGCAGTTAGCATATGCTTTATAAACACACACACACACACGTCCTGAAGATGGTGCATAATTACCAGTCCATGATGGCTTAAGTCAGTCCTACTGGCCAGGCAGGGCTGACTGAGCGAGAAGTTGGGGTTCCTCTGAGACTCCTCCAAGGATTGGTTTGCAGGACTGAACCCAGAGTCTCATGGCAAGAGTTTCCCTTCTTATCCATGGAACTTCAGGGGGTAGCTGAGTTAGTCTGTTACAGAAAAAACAGCAAATGGTCTGGTAGCACTTTATAGACTAACGAAACATGTAGATGGTATCAGGAGCTTTCATGGGCTCAGCCCACTTCTTCAGATGACTGGTCATCTGAAGAAGTGGGCTGTGCCCATGAAAGCTCCTGATACCATCTACATGTTTCGTTAGTCTATAAAGTGCTACCAGACCATTTGTTTCTTCTTATCCATGTCAGTTCCCATTGGAGTGTATAGGTTTTGCAGCGTCATGCTTCTGTCATCTGCCCTTAGGAGGTGTTAATTTGTGTTCCTTTGATGGTGATTGTCAGGATTCTCATTATTGTTTCTCACTCCTGGAGGTGGGGGTGTCTCTGCCTGTCTCCAGGGTTCGTCAATGCTGCCAATTCAGCCTCAAGACACTATGGATGTTTCAAAGTTTCCATTTCTTCTTGATCACCTGGGCATCTGTGATGGCTTTCACTCACACATACCCTCCATTCACACTAAACAATTGTATAGAGTTTCAAACAAGATCAATAGCTACAAGGGGTACAACTTAATTTGCAATACTTAACAGGTAGCAAGGCCATGCAGTGAACATTATCTAATTATAAGAGATACAGAGAGAGAAACAGAAGCTATAGAACTTATAAGCAAGTCATTACATCAAATCATTATGTATCATACTTATAATCTTAAAAATAATATCAAAATACAGCCTGTCTCCGACTTAAGAAACAATTACGGACCAAGCAATTGGTCGTAACTCAGTTTGATCATGAGTCGGACCCCACTGAGTTACACGCGACTGCGCTGTTCATAAGCGCGGATCGCGTTCGTAACTCGGGGTCCGCCATTTACGACACTTTTGGTCGTAACTGCGAATGGTCGTAAGTCGACCATTCGCAACTCGGAGACCGGCTGTATGCATTTTTGCTACACTATCTTCATAACAATGGGGAAGAATATATTTGAAAGCAAAATAATGAGCTCATCTAATAATCTATTTTTGTTTTTATGTGTTGCTTTCTATAAATGCTGTAATTTGAGGGCTTGTATTTTTAAGAGTGTATTAAGGTATATTTATAAAAGTACATAATTTTTTAACTAAAGCCATGAAATAAAGAGATGAAAGCAAGCAGATGCAATTATATTCCAACCAAAACAGACACCCAACGGCACAGAATTACTCTATTTCATTCTGCAGTAATACAGTTATTAATGTATGCAAGAGGAAGAGGGATATAGTATCATAGATTTTAAATGAGAACTCCCCACAGATTTCATTGTGCAGCTTTGCTTAAAATTTGATTGCATTTAATAAGTCTTTTTTCCTTATTAAAATTCTTTGGTTGCTACTGTTCTTGTTACAATAAAACTGAAAACAATATACTGGGGAGTTACGACTAACATAAACTGGAATTATATGGTACTATGTTACCTCAACAGGAGCAGTTGTAATTCCAAGTCCAAGGTTTTCAGATATTACAAAAGCATTGGCTACCCAAGAAGTGATGGTGTCAGGTACAGTAACTTCTATTGTTGTGTCTCTGCTGGATCTAAGAGTAGAAAAACAAATCCAAATTTCAAAAGCACTAAATTAATGCTCAATTATTACAATGTTAAATACATATCATAAATGCAGTCTGAATTCTTAACCCAAAATTTGTTGTTTACCTTTATTTCTTCTTCAAATTTTCTGTAAAAATATTTTGTCAGCCGCCAAAGTAATAATTAAATAGAAAATTAGAAACTGATCATGTTAAAAAAATAAATCCCTCTATATTCTATGGAAATACCCTCCAGATTTCAACTGCCATGTCAGTAAAATCATCTAATTTCCCGGTGCCTCATTTATCTGTATAAGGGACAAAATAATACTTCATTTTCTCTGTGTTGTTTATTTAAATTGTAAGCTCGTTAGGCAGAAATTGTCTCTTAAAATATATTTACATATTTGGACAATGTCTTGCACTGTAAAACTCCAATCTCAGTTACCACCTCTACTGTAATATAAATAGTAACAGGTTTTAAAACATAATTTCCTATTGAGATCAATCACAGAATCATAAAATATTAAAATTGGAAGAGGTCATCAAGTCCAGTCCCCTGCCCTCATGGCAGGACCACGCACGGCACTACCAAGCAGAGTATTATTTAAAATGCAATAGTGCAACATGTCCCTAGAAAAAAAAAAACTAAAATATTTCAGAAATCCAAAGCAAGTAAGAGTACAAATCTCTGTTTTCCTCTAAGCATTTACCTAGTATTGGTGTCAATCCAAAGCCAAGTCTCCGGGAAGTTTTTCCTTACATGTGGACTACTGAAAGCAGGAAATCCTCCTGCTAAATAGTCATCGAAAACTGTATCGTAGAGTATCATCTTATCATCTACAAAATTAAAATTATTGTCAAATATCAGAAAACCCCATGTTGCAAAACAAAATCAAATTAGCACCTTGTTTGTCAATTCAAAAGAAGCGTGGGAACAGTATATATGGTATTTCTGAATTGGATTCAGGTTTGTTGTACTGTTATTTTCACTTAAAAACACAAAAGTACTCCACATGATATTTAAGTTTGGCAGAGCTCTATGTCTATACAGCATTTTGGAGCAAGCAGAACAAGATTGGGCTAGCAGATCTCATGCTAGTACTTTAAAGGTGACTTTGTAGACAGTACTTTTAACTGGCAATTAGGGCTGGAGCTCAGGCTCTGAACTCTGAAGGGGAGGGCATAAGCTCCAGCCAACCCACAACCTCAAAGCGCTGTTTAAAGCACTAGTGTAAGCCCCATTAGCCCATGCCTCTTACAACTGCCTTGTATCAAGACAGCAGTAGCATGGATAGTAACCATAAAATCCATAGAGAAAAATGCATAGCCTAAATCCTATGTTCAAAAGCACCTAAACTGATTAGGAGCTTAAGTCCCATCAATTGATTTAAGCAGTTATGAAAGTATTACCCCATATCTAAAACCAGAAACTCTCCAACCATCTTAGGGTACAATCCTGGAAACCTCTATTCATTAAGGATGAAGGTCAATGGGCCTTGTCACAATGGTTAAGGATGCTCATGGGAGTAAGGATTTGCAGAATCAGACTTTTAAGGATTAATCTTGACAACAGAATATGGGCAGGAAACAGTATAAATGACAGGAATCCTTCTTCATAGACTATATTGTAAATGCAGAGATGCTACCTAGAGATTACTCAGTCATATTACGTGAGGTCTTATGTATCCACACACATAAGACGGAGGGTAGAGGATCTGCAGTGAGCTCACGCAAAGTGCAATTCATCTCCAGAGTCTTGCAACAAATCTAATTGCCCAAACTGCACTGCTGTACCAGCTGCAACAAGACCTTCTCTCTAGTTCTGCAGAAAGGGCCTGTATTCAAAATATCTATTTCAGGAATTTGTCTTCAGGCCCCAGAGGGTATTGTTTCATCTCAGACAACATAATCCTGACAAATTCTCAAAACACATGCTATTAAAGAAAGTGATTCAAATAAAAAATAAAACATGTAGGCCAAATTCTCATACATTATTCCAAGTTACATTATAGGTAAATCTGTGACTTCCGTGGAGTAACTCTGGGTTTTTCCTGGAGTAATTAACCAGAATTTGGTTTTGTTTGTTTCATCTTTACTTCTCCTAGCAGATAGCAATGACTTGGTTATACCAATGTGTATTACTTGTATTACTTACAGAGAACACTATTCCTGTCCTCTGGAAGGTTTGCATCAGTCAGTACCCAAAGGTTGCATTTCTGGATTAAAAAAATTACAATATATCTCAGTACAAGATATGCACAGAAATAATTATCTTATTTTTCTTTTCTTTAATTCTTTTTAAATGTCTTTCTTTCTTTTTTAAATAAAAGTTATTTTTAAAATAAAACGAAAGCCAATTTTTAGCAAGACAAATGCACAGTAAATCAGAGGATACTTTATGACTTTTGGATCCTTACCACACCATCAGACATAACTTAAAGTGGTATGATGTTTTAGTTTAAAAAAAAAAAGAATTAAATACAAAGACTTCAGTAGATTGGTAGTTCATTTGTATGCTTTAAGTTTGGCATAGCTCTATGTTTACATATTGGGGCACGTAGTGACTAATTTCAACTATTAGCTATTAAAATTCTGTGAATACTTTCATTTTAGACTTTGTTTACAAAGATTACATTTTCTCCAGTCCTCTTAACAAACACAGTAGAAACTATGAAACCCGTGCATTGTCTACAATTTTCAAACTTAAAAAAATATTGAATAAATGTTCCCTCTTCAAGGACGTACAAACAATTAAGGAGAAATAAATCAAATTTTCAGATTTTAAAATGATACCTGAAAGACACTGAAAGGACTGCCGATTGAGTCAAAATATTGTTCTGTGTTGTACAAACGTAATTCGTGGAGTATCTAACAAAAGAAATTGAAATTATGCAAATTGTGAAGGCAGGATGAAATTCCTTAGATAAAAATATACTGTTGGGGATGTTAATTTGCAGAAATATCCCTCAAATAGTAGATCTCTTATCCCTGGAAAACTAGAGTTACCATATAAATGGAATTAGGCAAAAAATAGTTTAAGTGAAATCAAATACAATTTTTAAAAGAGCCTAAATTCTATGGTCTTTCAATGGGACTTCAGTCATTTTTTTGCTTCTAAAAAATTTATTCAACATCAAATTATCCTCTCCACTTGCTAGTGCCTTGAAGATAATGAAAGTCAAAGGAATATAAATGAGAAGAACAATTTATTTCACTCTTCAACAAAAATGAACTCTTAAATTATTATATGATTTTTGTTATTGAAAGTGCCAAAGTGTGTAAAGAACTTTCCTATGTTATTTGTTTCTAAAAGAAAAAGGAATTGACTGAAAACAGTTTGTTGAACAAAGTTCAAAAGTATTGGAAAAATATGAAATGCCGAGTGAAATATTAGTTCTCTAGCAGATCTAAGATCTAGAAACTTACAGGGCAGAACAAGCATAATTCCAAATAAAGTGTCTCATTTTACAAAAGTTATACTCATAAGCAGTTCACTAATGTTGATATACTAATTGAGTGGTTCTCAAACTATGTTCCGGTAGAACACCAGGGTTCCGTGAGCTGGAATGAGGTGTTCTGCTACTGAAATCGAGTAATGGCAGTCTTTGCCCAATTTGCAGAAAAAATTAGGTTAATGGATAGAATTTTCTCAATTTTACATTCTTTTCACAATGACTATCATAATTTTTTCTTAACCTTGTTGCCTGCTAGAACCTGTCATCCTGAAGTTGTATTCTACAACTAGCTATTTCTATATAAAATAACATATAAAACCTATTACATTTCCATAACCTTACACCTTTCAGAAATACATTGTATACAACGTTTTTCTCTTTTACTTACAGTGTCTTCTGTAATATCACTACTTTCTTCCAGGAGCTTTGTGCTTTTGTCAACAACTGAAAGTCCAATTACAGATCTGGGTTCGGTTACACTGATTTTAAGGGAGACTTTCTCAGATGGATTGACTTTATCTTTACTCCAAGATATTTTGATCTAAGAAAAAGTAGAAAATAATGTTTGTTTAAATTACATAGTAATATTTCAGGGTCAGCCAAGAGCTTTCAATCACGAGCTTTTTAATTAATTGTAAAAATTCCACTGGCCAAGCCAATCCCACATGCCACTTCTGTGCTGCAACAAAGAGATTTGCGGCTCATGGAGGTGGGGTAAACAGGCCTTCTATGCAGCCTCTCCAGTTTGGTTCCTCTCCACACAGCAGTAATATATTTATTCCAATGTGTTTTCTACCTTCTAGATTCATTTCACTGAGAGGATCATACTTTCTGAGAAGGACCATTCTGAATCTCTTTCTAGTGCAGTTCTGGTGAAATCATAATTGAAACAACTCTCTCCTGGTTTACTCCGATACCAATATCTTCCCAATGTCACCTGAAATGGTCTTTCAGTTGGGGCCTGAATCAAATGCCAATAAAATCAGTGGGAGTCTTTCCATTGAAATCAGTGAGCTTGAACTAGGTCTACATTAAGGATTTTTATATCTGAAAATCCTCCATTCTAAATTAATATTTAATATGTAAGACAAAAAGTAAGTTTTCCCAAACTCAGTCTTTGAAATACTACCTTGTTTTCAAGGGCAGGCTGAACAGACAGAGCCAGGGCATCATTTACAACTTCCCCATTCTCATCAATGTAGAAGATATTTATGCATGCCACAGGAACCCAGGAATTTTCTGGCTTTAAAGTGAAAGTTGTCAAAACCTCTGTGCCTACAGCCACAATCTGTTCTTTAGCTATCACCTGAAAGGGAAAATAAAATGTCAAAATAATGATACGATACTATGTTACAATCACAGATTGTCACAAGTTTTGCAATTAATTTCAAAGATAGATATATTTTCTATTAAAGGCTATCTGTGCCCTTTTTTGGAGAAGGCCTGGAAAAGTTGATCAGTTTTTGAGGGGAAATATGAAGGAAAAGGAAAATGGATTGTTCTACATTAGAAACTCATGTCTTGACCAACCTCGTTTTCCCTGGAAGACTCTCCAGACAACCAGTGAACTAATAGGATAATGATAAATGATGTCACAGATATAAGCAACCTAAATCTAATTAAGAAGGGAATATTAAACAGACTAGTTAAACTATGGAAGAGATTGTAACATCTAGAGCTGATAGAAATGTTTCAAATGTTTTGAAAAAAAGGAGAATTTTGCCCGTTTTATGATCATCTCTTTTAATACCTCCAATAGCTTCCCAATAAACATTCAATGGAAAAGGTCTGCTTCAGTTAATGTTTCAACACCATTTTTCATTTCAGTGCTAAGAAAGCTCACCAAATACATACTTTAGAATTTCCATCCTTTGCTCAACAAAATCAACAAAAATATCAAACTTAACACTCCTTTATTCCTATGACATACAACACAAGGAGAACCACCAGATGTCCAAACTGTTTTGTTTTGTTTTTAAACAGTCGTTTTCTACATTATAAAGAAAAGGCACAAATCTATTTTTTCCGTTGCTGGTCAAATGTAAGATTCTAAGGCCACACTTGTTGAGTTTGCTGTTAACAGAAATCCATGTATCTAACAGCATGCATATTGATCATCAGAAATTAGCTTGTGCTCTGACCTCATCTGGATGCTTGTGTGTGGGATGGCCAGGTTGGAAATGCACTCATGCCCAGTAGATGGGCACAATCTAATCAGTGAGAGCTGGCACTGCTGCTAATACTCATCAGCAGAATTGACATGTCATGGGGGGAAAAACACTGTTTCCTTCAAAAGAATGGCAGAGAGAGGACTGAGAAAATACAAAGTAAGAACTGGTTCTACTGTTTTTACTGAGTAAAAAATAAATAATGTCTTCAATATTTAATCACATTTTTTTACTAATTTGAATTCATCTCAGATTGGTAACACTCTCCTCAAGTAATACACATGTAAACTCGATAAATTACCAGATAACTGATCTCCTTTATTGGCTTATTGCTTGCAACACTCAGCTCAAAAGGAATCCCCACCTAGAAAAATAATATGATAGGAATAAACATGTGACCATGATGAATACCTGACAGTAATGTTTTATTGGCAAGTACAATTGCATATGAACATGTGTTACCTTTACATCTTGTCTTGGTTTTTTTATCTGGAGGTAAGTCATATTGGGGGAGTTGAATACATCATTAATTGCTATATTAGTGTCACTGTCAAGAAAACCAGCCTGTAAAACAATAAAAAAAAGTCTGTTGGTAGAATTATAAATTCTGTTTAATGCTTGTGTATATGCTATTGTTACATATTGAATAAGACACATTAAAATGTTTTTTTCACACACACACACACACACACACACATACACACGGTTTCAACACAGGGTGACCAGATTATCAAAGTGAAAAACCAAGAAATGTAGGAAGCCTAATCTGAACTAGCTAGTCCGTGCCGCGTGTAGCCGCGCGGCACGGGGTCCGACCTAGCCGGCATTTAAAAATGGCACCAGCCGGCTTTATGCAAATGAAGCCCGGGAAATTCAAATCCCGGGCTTCATTTGCAACTCCGTATGACTACATTATCCCCCCTAGTTCGAACTAGGGGGGTAGTATAGACATACCCCAGGAGTGCATCTACATAGCTCCACAAACTCAAAATAAGATACGCAATTTCCGCTATACAAATTGCGTAGCTTATTTCGAGTGTATTTCAAAATAGGCTATTTTGAAATTTGGCACTGTGTACACAGCACCAAATTTCGAAATAAAGTGCTATTTCAAACCATCCCTTACTCCTTGTACAATGAGGTTTACAGGGATGGCAAAATAGCACTTCCGCTATATTTCGGAATAGCGGGCGCATTCACAAGACACAGGGTAGCTATTTCGGGATACCTCTGGTATCCTGAAATAACTCTGATGTGTAGACATACCCCATATGTGCTGTCATTCTGACCAGATGAGCTGCCCATGGGCTCTGATCCAGTAATCCAGTTGTGCAAAGGGATTACAAAACAATTTTTCACCAAAACTGTAGGGACTCTATGAAAGGCCCTTAAAAAAGGACATGCAGGGCACAAAGGCTGCCATTCTGATAGTACTCATGTATGTTTTTTAAACAATGACTCAATAAGCAATTGAGTGTTGATTAATTTTCAACTTTTTTTAAAGCAATATCATTGATAACATTTGTAATTCCTTGGTTTGTCATATCTCCCATTAGTTTATATTAACCATAGTTATTCTTATCATGACCTGTTTCCATTCAGTTCTACTGACATAAATGCAGAGTAACTCTACTGAAACTCACAAAGTTATTCTAGGTTTACACTGGTATGAGCTACAGAAGAATCTGGTCCCCTGGATTTCATCCAGAAACAACAACATAGCTCAAACTCAAACAAATGAAATTTTCCAAAGATCTCAGAGTCTTGTCACACTATACATGCCTTGACCAGAATATTAATCCCCCTTCTTATTTTGTCACCCTGTTCTCCCTTACCCTTCTCAGAGGAGATAGCATTCACTGTGCCTTTCATCAAGGGAGCTATGCAAACAGACCAGGAATCACCTAAAATATAACTAGATTTACACCTTCCCTCCTCTTCTTCTGGTGCTAAAAACCAGTATCTTCAAGCTCCCACATAAGGACTAGAATTCTGTCAGCACAGTTGAGTGGAGAAGACACTAGCCTGCAAAACAGAAAACCTGCCTTCCATTTCTGGCTCTGACACTGAATTACTGATTGACACTGAGGGTACGTCTAGACTACATCTGTTTGTCAGAAAAAGCTATGCAAAATGCGTTCCGTCTTTTGCGTTGCATTTCCGATACTTTTATCAGAAGAGGCTTTTCCAATATTTGGCCTGTCTAGATTGTGCCAAATGGTGGAAAAAAACCCTCTTTCGAAAGCCCCCTTCTTCCTGGCAGAACGAAGAATACAGGGGCTTTGGAAAGAGCACGTTTGCTCTTCTGCAAAAAAATGCGGAAGAACAAACACATTCTCTGGACGCGGTGGAGTTTTTTCTGGATACCTCTGGTAACCCAAAAAACTCACACAGTCTAGCTATACCCTGAGTGAGCCATTTCACCTTTATGTGCCTTTATGTGCCATCATTTCCTTTCTATTGTCTGTCTTGTATACTTAGTGTCAGGCACTATCTTTTTCTACGTATGTGGTGTGTGGGACAGTGGCCTAGGTGCTACTGTAATACAAATAATAAATAATTGCTCCCTGCACCAACTGTTGCAGAAGTCAGAAGCAATACACTGTTTATCTTATTCTTTGAACTATGCTAGATCAGTACTCTGAGTTTTCAGTATGTAAACAATACCTTAACGAGCAGACTCATCGTATTAGCCAGAACTGGGACTTCAATGTAGATGATTCCATTTTCCGGGACAGTGTAATTTAAGAAAAGCACTGTCTCATTTCTCTGCTGCCTAGCTTCATTTTCATACTTAGAAAACATAGCATGGTGAGGAACTGTGTCCGACTGTTCTGCAATGATTGTGACATAATTTTGTCTCTCTTCGGCCGTCAGCTGATTGTTGTCAGGACGTGTCACTTTTAGCTAATAACAAAACACAAGGAAGTGTCTATAAGACAGACCAGAACACAAATCCAGGATGCATAAGACATAATCATAAATTTGTTTTTAATGACATGGTTGTATCTTTAAACCACGGTCATCTTCAGGTTTGTAATACGTCTATCATGACACCTCAATTCCGTAAATCAAATTCCCGTTCTGAAATTTCACATAGAGAGTGTCCAGAGAAGAGCAACAAAAATGATAAAAGGTTAAAAAATATGGTCAGGTTTAGTCTTGAAACAGGGGGGGGAAAGGCTGAGAGGACCTGATAGCAGGTTGTGGGCTTCTAAAAGGAGTACAATGATCATTATCCTCCATGCTTACTGAAGTGAAGGTAGGACAAAAAGTTATGGAATTAATCTGAATAAGGGAGATTTAGGTTAGCTATTAAGAAACACTTCTAACTGTAAAAATACTTCATCACTGGAGTAGAATTCCAAGAGAAGGGTGGAATCCCCATCACTGGTGCTTTATAAGAATGGTTTGGACAAACGCCTATCACAGATGGTCTAGGTTTACTTGTTTCTGCCTTACACAGGGGCATGGACTAGACAACATCTCAAGGTACCTTCCAATGTTTCTATGATTTTATGTCACTGACTCTGACAGGTAAATGGAATGGGAAGCAAAACAAAGCAGGCACAATAGGAAACCTCCTCCTTTCCAACTGTGAAGATTTCTAGTATTCCTGTGAAACCACCACAGCATCCCACAGCTAAGTATGCACATTGAGCACCCGTAGCTACAACAGTTATTGCAATGTCTAAGTTATAATATGGGGAACAGGAAAAAGAAACTGTCCAAAATTTGTATGAAGTCCAAAATGAATACCTCCAGCATACAACTTCACTTCAACTCCATCAATTACCTTCTGCTATTGCATTTCCAGTCTTTTTTCCATCTAACATTCATCCCCAACTCATATGTCATTCATTTTTCTCCCGCCCTCATGTAAAAGTCTATCCCTCCCACCAGACTCTCATTTCTCCTTCACCCCTCTGGACTGCTGACATTCCCTCTCTTCACTTGGCAGCTGCTCAGCACTGGTGCAATCTTCCTCCAATAGCTCCCTCAGCATCTTGCTTTGGAGGATGAGGTGAATGCAGACTGGGAGCAAGCTAAGAGGATGGCAAAGGAAGGGAGATGAACCAAAAAGCCAGAGACGCCTGTTTTGAAGCCATAGCCTTCAGCTAAATGGTGAGATTAGGCTAGTTTGCTATCAATGCTCATATTAAACTCTTGTCATTTATCTACCTAGATTCAAGCTTTTCACAGATTCATGTCAGCTCATTTCAACAAGCTTTAAAGTGTTTCCCTTTTATATGGTGCAATTGTGGTTGTCTGTTAAATGCTTACATTGTCACAGAGTGGAAACCCTTTTACATGCCTAGAAACAGGAACAAGAGATTTAGTCAGATGACAGGGGTTTAGATAAATGGAAAAACACAGAGGACATAACCCAATTCCAGAAAGCAGAGATTTGTGCATAAGGTGGTGTTTGGATAAACAAGTTCTATGAGATTCTATAAAACATTTGAATGCTAAGTATTAAGCATATGTTAGTAAAAGCATGAGATTCATTAGCTAACAGAGTTATTAAAAATCCACACTAGCTATAGAATGTCCTGACTAAACAAAAATATGGGTCTCAAAGTGGAAAATAATCAACCCTGATGCAAAGCCCAAAAATGTGTGAAAAATCTTTTCTTGGGGATCCCTCACAAACCATCTCCAAATATATCCCCTGTACCTGAGGCAATTTCTACTCTACGTTTCCTATTATTTTACAATTTTCTACTGCAAATGACACTCATGCTAAAACTGCTGGCATGAATGCAATGAAATAAAAGGAGTCATTAGAAAAATTCTATAAATTTCCTCTAACCTTAAGCAAACATTTTTAGCTGAGCAGCACCATCAAGGAACACTGACTATTTTTCTTACACAAGAGTTAACTTGATGAACAAATCATAATTAAATGGAAGAACTTACAGTAGCTGTGAAGTTTAGAGAAGGCTTTAGAGCTCTAGCATAATCAGAAAATTCAAGGATGTAGTTATTCTGCTTTGGAAACACAGTGGTGCTTGCATTCTGGGTGATTCCTGTTAGGGAAATTACGAGTTTTCAGAAGACATGATTTCATATATAATCCTTTTCAAAGGGTTCTTCCAGCTCTTCACATTACAGAGAAAACTCTTATATTTCAAACATTAATTCCAAATACCCCCGTTCACACTTTCGTTGCTATCCTTCCCACTTAGTATCCCAGTGCCCTGATAATCCAAGCATACACATTGGCACCTTTTCCCTCAGCACCAGGGAGGCTGTACGGTACTTCTCTGAGTTCTACTGCTCCACTCCACACATTTGCCATGCTCCCTACTCTTTCCTGATTTGAAAGTACATATTTTCAAGCCCTTTTACATATAAACAAACTGTTAAGATATGGCTTGATTGTTTGTAACAACATCACATAGTAAGTTACATACCTGTAAGTGATTCTCTAACTACAGCTATAATTTCCGTTGGCCCTCTGTAAACTATGTCATGCTGATACTCTCCATTTTGAGTCGGACTTAAGTTTTCAAACTTGAAGTAGTCAAAAGTGAAGTTCACAGACCCATTTATCTATAATGAGAAAACAAAGAGCTTATTTGTTTGACTGGATTTTTTCCAGCGGTGTCATCAAAACTCAAAGCACTTAAAATCAGGACAACATTTTTCATCCATCACTTCTAGTTAAATCTGAGTTTCCTCAATACAAAACTATAATTACAGTTAATGAGTTAAGATATTAACACTTATTTGGCAATCATCATTCTTGATACATCAATAACAGACTGATGCTGGAAATGTTTAGTGTTTTATTATGATTATTCATTATCTATACACTGCCATAATATTCGTTCATGGTGTTTTACAGTGAAATACAAATGGACAAATTTCTGCCTAGAATTTGATCCTGTAAAAGGATGTGATCTTCCATCAGTGGAAGTCTTTAAATCAAGATTGGATGTCTTTCTAAAATACATAACTTAGCTCATCTGCAAAGTATGGGCCTGATGCAAGAATTACTAGGTCAAATATTTGGTCTGTTTATATAAGAGATCAGACTAGATTACCATAATGTCCCTTCTTGACTTAAAAATCTATGAATAAAATACTGTGCATCTACTGAGATATATCATAATGAGAGATTATAGTAAACAAAAAGTGAGCAGAGGTGAACAAAATGATAAAGGTTACAATGATGAAAGACCCTAAGATATGCTTATTAGTTATTAATATCTGTGTAATAGTAATATGCAGCTTTATGATTATGACAGGGGCCCCAACATACTGATTGCTGCACATAACTTAACTGAAGCCTGATACATGCACCGTGTTAGTCCTCTATAACAGTGAAGGAATTTCTGTTAGCTTTTTCTTTTCAATGTATTAAATGCATTAAAATTTTGGAAACAGGTAGGTATAGAGACCAGCAATGGAAAAAATACAGGAAAAGGTGAGGGTGTGAAGGAGAATGTGGGTGACTGGCTAAGAACCAAGGAACATTCCACATGTACAGAAAGTGATATGAAAAAAGGGTTGGAGTGGCTTATGAGAGGAGAATCAGCAAAGAGCAGTGTGTGAGCAACACAACAGAAGGCAAAGGAGAAAAGATTGCTAAAGGGAACAGAATGTGCGTTTATAACTATAATTCATGTCATTGAGGGTTTATTCCAATAGTCCATATTGGCAGAGACATGGCTGCAGAAGCAAGTCGGTACATTCACAAAGACTCTACAAACTGTCATCAAAGACTCACCTCCAGTGTTTTAGTAACATTTCTCTTGCTCCCCCAATAGGACACAGGAATGCAGGTGACTGTTACACTTCCTCTCACTGGCTTTCCATAAGTATACCTGAAACATGGTGAGAGAGATAATATGAACCATTTTCACATAGCTTTGGAGTTCTTAAAAATTTACAAGACTGAGAAATAAATAAAAAACATAATCTGATGGTATTAAATAAAACAACAGCACATTTGTACTTGGAAATTATGTGAAACTTTTAAAGCTGGCGTAAGTTGATTTTCATCAGGGGCATGAGCCCATAATTCATGAGTGGTGGGTGGATGTGCACAGAAGTGGGAAGTGCTGCCCCAAAGCCACTGGAAGTCCATTATTATCATAAAATGTTTTTCATCAATAGCAATGTGCTGGAAAACCTGAGACCAATCAATATCAAAATAACTGCAGAAAAACAACACGTGGCCAGTCTTTTTACATTTTATCATTTCATAATCAGTGGCTACGTCTACATTGGCCCCTTTTCCGGAAGGGGCATGTTAATTTCACGAGTCGTAATAGGGAAATCCGCGGGGGATTTAAATATCCCCCGCGGCATTTAAATAAAAATGTCCGCCGCTTTTTTCCGGCTTTTAGAAAAGCCGGAAAAGAGCGTCTACACTGGCCCCGATCCTCCGGAAAAAAAGCCCTTTTCCATTGTATCTTATTCCTACTTCAAAGTAGATCCTCCGGAAAAGGGCTTTTTTTCCGGAGGATCGGGGCCCGTGTAGACGCGACATTTTTATTTAAATGCCGCGGGGGATATTTAAATCCCCCGCGGATTTCCCTATTACGATCGCTGAAATTAACATGCCCCTTCCGGAAAAGGGGCCAATGTAGACGAGCCCGGTATGATTAATTCACAACAAATGAGAACATGTCCCCTTTTAAAATGCCAATTGTGAAGGTAACACAACGGTAGCGCAGCAGAGTTAAAAGGCTATGTGGGAGAGTCTTGTGTTCTCTTCAAGCATTGCCTAATCTTACCAGATGCATCTAATACAGACCGAGAGGTCCCAATGTATTCAGACCTAATTTTTAAAATATGCTTAGAAAAGTAACCATAAAGTAATAAATTGATCTAGCATTCTTTCAAAAAAATCCCCAGGCATCCCACCACACAAACGTAATTAAATGTTTAACACAAACCTTTTCACTTTTAATCTGAAATCTAGAACAAATTCAGGTTTTTTTAATGTCATTGGGAAGCTTAGTCCAATTATTGTGAAGCATAGATACTAATCTGCTTTGCCACAAATGCTTCCAGATTATGTTTAAGAAAAAGCAATAGCTTAATCAGACTCAGACTTCAACAGCAAGGCAATTAAAAAGAACAAATCAAAGAGTGATTCTGGGTCATTATTGGTAGTAAGTCTATAAGTAAGCACATTAAATACAATCTATACTCTAGCAACTGTTATAGAGATTATAAAACAGAGACTCAGAGAAAATATCAACAAAAATCTAGTTCCAAAAAGAATGTTCACAACAGCATTCTGCAGCAACTAGTTTTTTAGAGGATAGTGATGTGAAAGATTGACTGGTGAAACCTGTAAGCATCACCGTTCATGGCCGCATTAAGGGGGGGCCACAGGCAGAGGCTGCTCAGGCTGGGCTAGAGTAGCCCCCTCCTAGTCCCTCTGTAATCAGTTAACCAGTTAAACATTATGTTTAACCGGTTAAACAATTAAACAGGATTTTACATCCCTATTAGAGGATAGGCTGAAATACCTAAAAATAGAATGAGTTACATCAATCAGCTATAATCAGTCCTAGAAATGATAGAGTGATTGGGCAACATCCTTTTGTGTTTCAAATCTCAATTTGGAAATATTACTAAGATGATAAAAGAGACATTGACAAATCTGAAGATAGTGTAAATCTCCATGCTTTTTTATTCATAAAAATATTACTAGAGAGGAAGCCATGCATGTTGTACAATTAGGACCAATAAAATTTCAGGACTATGAGGGATTCAAATGGCAGAATCCTATAGCATACAAACTAGCCTGTCTTGCAACTGTCAGTCATAACTGTAACCATTCTACCACAGTTAAATGGAAAAATTAATAAACCTCTCTACATAACACTGAACCCCAGCTCAAACAGGCAAATTCCAGGCATGACTGTATCTATTTTATGGGTTTTTAAGTCCATTCATCTCTGTAGTATGTGACTGCCTTCTATGTAACAAAGACTACAAGGGACTTTGCTGTTCCCAATCTTCTTGGACTCTCCAGTCCATTTGCCTTTGGAGATCACAGAATGCTCTATTTGAGAGACATGTGAGGACTAGATCTTATTCTCACTCCCACAACCCAATGACACTACAGGTTTCACCTTCCTTTTTGGACCCCCTTGGGACCTAACCGGTCCGGAAAAAGGAAACTGCCCACGCCAGGGGAGGTCCCCTGTCACTAGCCTCCTCACTGGCTCATTGGAAGATATCCACAATCTAGCCAGCGATGCTGGAGAGCTTGGATGTCCAACTTTGACAAAGAAATATAGCATTGAACACAACATTCAAAAGAAGAAGACCAGCCTCCAACCCAGCCAGCCCCTCTGCCTCTGGCCCATCTAAGCTGCTGGCCCTGGCCAGGCTTGCCAGAGGCCTAGTGCAGGCCCCAGCCAGCACCCCAAGATGGCCCACTACTAGTTTGCTGCTGACTCTGGACCGGCCCTGCTGCTGGGTTGCCCAACTGCTGGCATGATACCAGACCCGCTGCCCAACTGCCAGCCAGATTGCTGCCCCCACTGCTGCCCTACTGCCCGAATGTCAGCCGCGGCATTGCCCTCTACCCCAGCAGGGCTCCCAGCCTAGGGTCTGTGGTCCAAGAACATCTGTGGTCTGGCAAGGACTCCTGGCCAGGGCCAGTGTCTGGCAGCTTGGCTACAGCTGGCAGCAGCTGATGTTGCTGGACATCAGAGTCCCAGTTTAGAGAGGCACAACCTATACCACAAATCACTGAAAGAGCCTGGCACAGTGCATAACTTTCCTGGATTGTCCAACAGGGGACTGTAAAAGATTTAAAACAGTGATTTAGAGGAACACTGCTGAGAACTCTAAAGTAAATGAACGAGAAGCAGCTACAATTAAGAAATCTTTATAAACCTTTAAGAGTGACAATATTTAGTATTAATGCAGAAACATGCATCTAAGAATTTCAAAATACTTTATAAATGTCAACTACATATCGGTTCCTCCCTCGTCACCTACAATTTCAATGCGCTGACATGCAGGCTGAACTATTTCAGGTAAAACTGAGCTATAAATGAATATGATTCCTCCTTTAACCTCATTTTCCCGTCACCTTAGGAGAAGTAATCTGACATTTTTAAAAGTAGGTTCTAAATTCTCTGGTGATGCCCCATGTTTGTGCCACACTAAACAAACACTCATGTTCAATAATAATAATGTCTAAATAAGAAATGGGATGAAACACTCATTCATCGCTTTTTAAAATACATAACTATTTTCCAATATAAAATAACATGTGCATATTATATAAATGACATTTACCCAGTGAGAAAGTTCTGTAAATGTATGATTTAACTTACTTTGCAGTGACAGTACCAGTAAATTCTTTCTCTTTCAAAGGATAGTATAATGATGTTGTTAAAGTAACTTCAAATTTTGGTAACACTACAAAAAATCAAAAGCTAACATTAAAACATATAAAAAAATTAATTTATACTAATGAGAGCAAATGCCAATTGTATTTCACGGGGATATATCAGTGTAATTATGATGGATTCTCCCATCACTCTGATGGATGAGTGATTTCACTGTAATACGGACTGAATTACTACAGCTTCCCACAGGACCTATGTTTTGAACCACAACTGGTAGCATGTAATATTGATCCTGCCCTGAGAGCCACACACTCAAACTGCTACACCCATGCAATGCCACACAGACTTTGATGAGACTCTCAGCAGACAGAGGTCCATTTGTGCTGAGACACTTGCAGGACTGAGGACTAATATATCATTCCTCTCTCTCTTTTTGGTCATACTTGAAAAACCAAAAACTGTTCAACCAACTGAGTCCTTTACAGTACAGCCAGTAAACTTAAAAGACCCAGAGATTATAGGGTTTCACTTCAGTTGCAGTTATGCCTTTATTCACAGCACAGAGTAGGAATTGTCCATTCAGAGAAGCAGGGAACATCCCACACAATCTATGTCCTCTGATTGCTCTTCGTAAGATACTGGCAAACCGAAGTCTTCACTGTTTTTTCTACAACTTTTCTAGTTCATCTAAAATATCATTGATTAAACTGCTAAATAACATTGACAAAATACTTTTCCTAACTGAACAGCCATGTTCTAAATATCATGCTGGGAATATTCAGGGGCAGATTTTTCCAAAACATGAATTTGGGTAAAGGAATCCTGGCTAGTGTTGTGAGCATGAGGAGTGAACACAAATAAGGCTCACACAAAACAGCAATTTAAACAACTGGCTCTCAGTTTTTTTCAATAATACAAAGGCTTCTGATACAGGAAAATTGTAGGCATCTTAAATACACAGTACAACAACTGATTAAAGTGATTTTTTTTGATGAACAGACTCCTGATTCTGCAAGCTGTGGGTCAGTCTCAGAGATATAGGAGTTGCAAGTGGGGTTTCATGTCCATAAGTCACCAAGTAACTGTTTAGCTCCCAGAGTTTCAATACCAGATATTGATACCTGGAGAATCAAATTATCCTGTTCCACTGGATTCAATTTGAAGTATAGGAATAATTGTGATGTAAATTTAAAAAAGATACCCATCAATGTACCACTTGGACACTATTGTCCTCTTGACGCAATATAATGCTTTTCCATTTCCAAAAAAGAATTACAAGTTTCTGTCTTGCACCTGGACCATACTTACCATATTCCATCACAGTAAATCTTTGATAATGGGTTTGATCCTATAGAAAAACAAATCAAGAAATACAAAATTGTAGTTAGATTATTTCACTCAATACATGTACTCTCGCCCAATCCCATGCTCATTCAATTCAAGCAAGATTTCAGCCTACAAGTTACATTATAGTCAATGAAGTTATGTAATTTCAAGTAGTGACATAAAGAACCGCTGATTTATAATGTCAGTGAAGATACATATTATTTATTTATTTAACACCTAGAAACCGCCAATCAAGGATCCCAAGTTCTATTTTGCTAGATGGTGTAAATATACATAATGAAAAGGTGATCTCTGTCCCAAAAATCTTGTAAACTAAATCTAAGACAAGCAATCTTAAACTTCTTCATTAACCCAAAACATCTGCAACATTCTGTTAGCCCTGTGTGTCCTGTTTAGTTTCCTTAATAAATAATAATGCTTAGCTCTTGTATAGCACGGCTCATATTTCAGATCAGAGCATATCACAAAGTAGACCAGTATCATTAACTTTGGTGGAGTACGTCAGGGCTGAACGTAGCTAAAATACTTTTGTTTATTGGATTAAAACAGATAGAAGAACTAGGTTTCTATCCAATATATAAAAGTGCAATGGGTCATTCCTTTTTATTTCCAGTCTTCCTAATTCCTTCGGTTGCTTTCTGTTTTTCTCCAGGATCACAGGTTATAGTAGTAACTCTTAAGTGCCATATTTAGCTATAGGACTGTAATGTTTTGGTTTTCTGTGCACTGTACTTTTAAACGTCTATCCTGGTATTCAGAATCTAAAAGCCACTTTTATTCTTGGATAGTAGGGCAGACTCTCCAAAGAGACGTACAGTCTGTGCTCTTCCTCGGAAACTTCTTTTTATTTATTTTATTCTGTTGCGGATAGTAGGGCAGACTATCCAAAGAGACATACAGTCTGTGCTCTTCCTCAGAGACTTCTTTTTATTTATTTTATTCTGTTGTCCTCTTATTCTAATATGAAAATAAAGTACAATCTCTGTTGCCTCTTTATGCACATAATCCTTGATGGAACTTTTAATTTGTGCATTATTCTCCTAAAAGATACTGCCAACATTGCAGTAGGCTGACTGCTGATTTATTGATGGTGATTTACGGTCTATAAAGTTCAGGATGACCTGCAAACAAACATGTGGAATAAAATGATTAAAGTTTCCTTCAAGGTGAAGGCATTAATCACTCATATTTCTGTTTGCTCCTTTCTAAACATATGGGATACATTAATGAGCATTCTTTGGTGACAAACAACAGATCAATTAAAGAAATGTTAACACAATTGCTGACTTAATATGTTTTCTATCCTAGATCTCACTGATCCATTAGGCTTATCAGACCAATAAACATATGTGATTGTGCAAAAGAGGCTTAAAATATGTTGTGTGAAATGAAATATTCTTAATGTGTCTTATCTGAAGCAAAAGTATATGAAGAAGCCATTGGTTAATATACAATTCTAATGCCAGAGTTCATCTTTAAATGTAAAACAAATGTAGGTATTTGTTCTGTCCAATTGTCCAGGCTTGATTTTGATGGCTTTGAAGAAAGATTTCAAAAGAATGTTGTTGCCTTATATTAAACCTCATGAGTCAGTCTCAAAGATTCTGAAGCATAGTGGGAGTTAGAACCTATCTGAATAGACTACACAGCCTTGAACTTGGTGGAATCTAAGAAGGAAGGTCAGATCAGGACTGAATGGAGCAAGTACATAACTTCCTGCATTCATCTAGGAGCAGCTCCAGTTTAAACACTTCATCCTCATTGTCTGATGAAATATGGGTGAGCATATTGAGCTACAACGGAGTGGCAGGCCCATAAGTCTCCAATGCTAAGTAGGGGAAGGGGGGGGATCACTCTCCACAATTTATAGGACTCCGTGTGGAAAGTCTGAGCTGGGCTTAGATGAAAAAGTAAACAAAGGAGTTCTCAATATGGAGGAAAGAAGGGGCCTGATTGAAAGATCCCTACTGTTTAACAGATTCCAGATGAAAAGATAGGGAAAACAACACTGGATAGCAGCTTATGACTCTTAGTGGAAAGTGGCCTTTTTAAAAAAGGTAACTCTGCAGGGTGATGCCGGAGTGTATGGGGAGGTTGTGTCGTGATGAAGTAATGACTCCTAGTTCTCAATATGGAGGAAAGAAGGGGCCTGATTGAAAGATCCCTACTGTTTAACAGATTCCAGATGAAAAGATAGGGAAAACAACACTGGATAGCAGCTTATGACTCTTAGTGGAAAGTGGCCTTTTTAAAAAAGGTAACTCTGCAGGGTGATGCCGGAGTGTATGGGGAGGTTGTGTCGTGATGAAGTAATGACTCCTGATGCAAAGGATCTCTGGTTCTCAGTCCAGTGGTCATACCAAAGGAGTTACTTCTGCAATTGTTGTGTTTTAGCTATATGTTGAAGCAGACACGTGGAAGAGCACAAAGCAGGCTATGAAGGTCATATTTCTTCCTCCCCCATTAAAAAAGTTACAACTCTGAGAAACTGTGTGTAGCTTAGCAAACAAAGAGATTGCAAACCAAAAGGAAGTTGAAATTTAATTGGACAATTCTCGGGTAATGCACCCCGGGATTACGAATCTACCTTTCTGCTATTTGATGGTGCCTTTCTGCTATATGATGATGGGCTCTGAGATTGCTTGTTCCTCTAACAAAAAAGATCTTGGAAAAATCAGAGTAGCTCAATGAAAAGTTCTGTTCTTCGTGTAACAAAAGTTAAATATGTTAAACTGATGTTTGGATGCAATCAATAATTGCCAGAAATAGCTCATGTCGTAGGGAGGAGTTAATCCTTCTTTGAAAGGGTTAAATAAATTGAGGCAATTGACATGTTATCACAGCCAAAGGTAAGTGAGAAGGAATAACTGTCTAGTTGGAGGAAAAGATCTAGAATGTGAACTGAGCAACCTTGAGAGAGGAACCCTAGAAGAAGCCATGCCTGAAAAGACTAACAGTTTTGTTAGGGCGCAAGTGTTCATGGGTAAAACCGACTTCACCAGATGGATTGGAGTGGAAGTTACAGAAGCAAGGGTATATACCTAGGGCCGGACTGAACTATTCTGGTGCCCCAGGCAGACAGTTTAATTGCGCCCCAGGTTGGGGGAGGGCGCATGCGTGGCTCCACCCCCATGCCAGCACGTGGGGGAGGGCG